TCTGAAAACTCATGGTCAGGAAGAGCTCCATCACAGCCACAAACCTCTGATTGCCACAGACCACAGAAGCAGCCCAAATCAATTGCAGAGCAAACACCAGATTTTGTACATAAGCAGCTCATAAGAGATGACCTCCCAGACATCACAACCTCAAACAAAATCGGTTTTGGAAGTGGTTGATTTCAGGGACGAGAAACAATCACAGACCCTAAATAATGTACAGATTTCAAACACGATATGGACATAGCATCTCCTTCACTTTAATCTTTCCCTAGATCCAAAGAGTATCAAAAAATGTGATGGAAATGAATAGATGAGCACAGAGCAGAGCCCAAGGCATGATCCAGGAGCCTCTCCACATGGTAACTCTTCTCCTCACCATTCCTGGAAATTCATCCCTCCTGAAGTTTCTCTAACTGCAACAGGGAAAATATTTGGAAAAGGTCAAATGACTCAGTGCCACTGAGAGCCGTAACTTTTCAAGCAGGAGCAGGTTTCCATGTGCTTTCAGTTAGAGCCCAGACAGGTTGGGGGAAAGGCAGCAAACCCCCCAGCCCACTTCCTCTTTGCTCATTTTGAAGCAATCAAGCCCAGGGAGAGCAGTTTATGTGTTTGGTTTGAATTACAGATGATTTTGCTGCTGGAACACATCTGCAACGCGCTCTGCTGAGTGAACTGCTGAACCCCAGCCAGCTCAGAAAACAACCCACACGGCTGGCAGCACCAGCAAACCCCAGCGAAGGCTCCCAGAAGCCACTTTCAGAGACAACAGGGAGAGGGAGATGGGCATTTCTCAGCACGGGCTTTTCCCGAGACACCCTCCAGCGCAACTCAATTTATTGTGACTCCAGGAAGAAGAAGGGTTAATTTCTTTCCAAGTTCACATACTGTTTGAATTCCTTAGATAAGCTGCTTCCACCAAACCCAAGGACCTAGCCCCAGGGGAGAAACACTGTGAGGAAAAGCTTTTTTGATAGACTTTCTTCAAAAGAGAAATTAATTCAAAGTCCATTTTTGGAGGTGTTCCACGCCCACGGTTTCTACAAACTTCAGATGAGGTTGCATCGTGCCTCTGGAAAAAAAAACCCAAGCTTTGAGCAATGCCCTACCACTTCTGTTTGCAAGACAAATGTTTTATGCTTGCCCAATAAAATCTCTCCTGAAACGAGAAAGCTCAGCACGCAGCACCACAAAGAGGAAAACCAGCCCAAACCAGACTTTAGCCCTGGGATAAAGCAGTTAACAGCTAGCACAAACTAATCCTGTACCTTTAAAACTGAGCAGTCACTCAGGAAAGCAAAAAAACAAGTTTTGAAAGCCACTGAAGGCTTCCTTCACATCTTGAGGCAGAAAGCAAGTCTGGGCTGTTATGGAATTCGTGTTTGCATACTGCTGGTGATAATCTGTGTGCATAGTTAGAAACAAAGCAAGTTTTTATTAGCAATTAGTAGCAAGACTAGGGACAGACCTGCCTGAAGGAGTCAGAGAAACGCCAATACACGATGGCAGAGCCTTGTAAGATGTGGAGCAGAACAATCCCAACGTGACAGATCACACAGAAAACACTGCTGCTCTAAACTGGGAGATGCAATGGCATCAGTTCAAGGAGATAAACTGGGTCTTTAACACTGACAACTTTGACTCCAGGCAGCAGTTTTCCCTTGCACAGCAATTTGCAATGCAAAGCAAGCTACTTCCACCCTTACCAAGAACACAAATTCAGAATCAAAGTGGGAGAGCAAAGCTGGGAAGGGTTGATTTGTTTAGATATAGTTTTCTACAGAGTCGAGTTTCAAGTAAGACACAAAGGCAATACAGCACAGGGTCTGAAATAGTGTGGGAGAACTTGGGCAAGGAGAGGGGAAAAATATAAGAGAGGATTTAACCCACAAACCTCAGCCCCTTTCAGGGGAGTGACCTCCCGCTCCCTCCCCTCATCTCTGAAAAATTCAATCCAGCTCGGATCAGCCAACACCACCCAGGTTCAGAGCTCTCCAGCTATGTACTTCCCCCGCTCCAGAGAATGATGTGGCATGTGGGGCCCTACAACAGAACTATTAAAATCCCATCAAGGGGTAAGCAAGTGGTGGCCATATGCTAAACCGCTCAAGGGATGAATAACCAGGGAAAGAAGCAGAGCCAGGCAGCAAGTCTGCAGGGAGGGTCTTACCTGGTAGATAAACTAGCAAAGTCTCCTCCATCCAGCAGCCTAATTTTGCAAAACAGAACCCCATTCACAAAGGGGACGGCAGTCAGCTCTTCTAGAGTGAAACTTGTCTGAAACTTGAATTTCTTCTTCTTCATCAGGAAAGCCATGGGCAAATTCAGCGTGAAAAGCTCAGGAATTCCAAACAAGATCAGGGAGAAGCGGCTCAAAACACACACAGACAAGCAGAAGAAGGACACTCGTTGCAGGAGCACAAGCAGGGAGTAAATTCCAGTTCAGTTACAACGACGGCCCAGCTTCAAACGCACGATTCTCTTCTCTTTGGTGGTCGGATCTGGCTGTGGGATCATCACCACGGCAGGCTTCAGGTGAGCTGGAAGAGGTCAGATTAAATCTCTGCAACATCTCCAAGGGAAAAGGGAGGGAGGGAAGTTGGTCTCAGCTCCAGACCAGCAGGAGCTGTCCCAGTTAGAGGCTGCAGTGCTCTGTCTTCAGCACAACCCCTCCTGAAAGCATCTCTTGTGAGAAGTCATCTCGAGTCCCCAGAGAAGCCTCAAGTCTGCGGGCAGCACATTCAGAGAGCTTCCAGTTTCTATCTCCTCCCCTTGTGCAACTCCTTGATACAGGTCTTCGGGTCAGCCTTTGGGAGGGAAATGAGTAAATTAGTTCCAGCCAGTCTTGGGCTCCTCCTCTTGCTCTAAAACCTGTTTGGATGGGTAATATTCAGTCCAGACTCATTCCAGTCTGAAGAGGTATGGCCCCAATTAGCCTGGCCCCAACATCCTCTTTCCCCTTTTTGCCTAGGGCAAGTTTCAGTGTTGTCATCCCCCTCGTAATTTCTGTTTTGCAAAGCAGCTAATAAAAATCTGCTCTGTTTTCAGCCACCACCTTGAGAAGCAGTTTACAGAGCAAGATCAGTCTAATGTGTAGTCTAACAAGGATAAGGAAAAGCCATCTCAAGAATGGAAAAATCTGCTTCTTTCCTGCATATCCAACCAGCCCTAAGTGTTAGCACCTGTATCTTATAAATGGAGAAAGCAGCAGAGAGAGAAAACAAGCAGTCTGCTCCAGATTACAGAGCATAACAACCGAATCAGGTCATCTGGCTGCCCAATCACCAGGCCCACTGGGAACGCTGCCTTTCCCCAGCACCGGATCCACATCGAGCCCTGCACGGCTCAGCTTTGGGGCTGGAGATGGGCATTTCGTTACACACCGACACAACACCCAAACCAGGGAGGCAGGAGCTGATCAGCATCCAAAAGGGACAAGGTTATGAACGTCGGGCAGTAAACAATCCTCAGGGATTCTAGCAGCTGCCTGAATGTGTGGGTGGTTAAAGCCCCTCGCTGGCTGTGGGTAAACCCAGCCGGCTCTGCCGGAGCCTGGGCACCTCCGCTGTCCTGTGGCACTGCTGTACCCCACCGGTCCCTGCGCCGAGCTGCTGCCAGGGCTCATCCTGCCTTCCAGCTCCCTGGACTGTGCACCGGGATGGGGACAGGTCCCAGCCCACCCCCGGACCACGCACCAGGCTGCAGGGAGGTCACAGCCTGCCCCGGCATCCCGGGGCCATACACTGAGCTGTGCCCAGGTCTCGGCTCTCTTTCCGAGCCGTGCACTGAGCTGTGCCCAGGTCTCGGCTCTCTTTCCGAGCCGTGCACTGAGCTGTGCCCAGGTCTCGGCTCTCTCTCCGAGCCTCGCACTAAGCCGTGCCCAGTCTCAGCTCACCTCCCGCACCTCCGAACCACCGAGTGCCCCGCAGCCCGGTCTCACCGCTCTTCCAGCCCCAGGGGCCAAGCACCGGGGCCGTGCCCGGGCCGTGCCCAGCTCCGACCCCACCACCCGTGCCCGGAGCCGCAGCCCGGGCTCAGCCCGCTCCCAGCCCGTGCACCGACCTGCAGCCCGGTCCTACCCCCATTCCCGGCCCCCCCCATCACCAGCTGCCCTACAGGCGGTCTCATCCCGCTTCCCGGCGCGCTCCACACACCTGCGGCGCGGTCCCGGCGCGGTGCCTGCCCGGCCCTGCCCGCTCCTCCCGCCCGCTGCTCGCCCGGCGGCCGCCGCTCCCCCGCCACGGCCGCCTCTGCCCGCGCTGCGCCAACTGCGCCCGCTACGCCAACAGCGCAGGCGGCGCGCAGGGCGGGTGGCGCGGCCGCGCTTCGAGAATACCGACCCTGCGTAACCCCCCGCCCTCCGTCCCGAGACGGGGGAGCGACAGCGGCGGCGTCCGATTGGACAGCAGCGAGGAGGCGGGTTGAGCGCGGCGGTATTTGATTGGCTAATCGCGCGCGGGGCGGAGAGGAGAGCGCACCGATTGGAGAGCAGGGCTGTCAATTTGGGGAAGCCCTGCCCTCTGGGCGAGGGGGCGGGCGCGGAGGATCCGGAGTTCTCTCAGTGGGGCCGTTGTGTGGGGCCGGGTGAGGCTTTTCGAGCTTCCCGCCTCACAGGGTGTCCCGGGGCCCTTCTGCAGCCCGAGCAGCGCCCAGCTGTCGCTGGAGCTGAGGGGATGGCGGGGGCAGCTCTGACATGACAGACATGGAGCTCCTGGAGCGGGTCCAGCGTGGGGCAACGAGGATGGTTGGGGGACTGGAACATCTCTCATATGAGGAAAGGCAGAGGGAGCTGGGGCTGTTCAGCCTCGAGAAGAGACGACTGAGAGGGGACCTCATCAGTGTGTATAAATATCTAAAGGTGCCAAGAAGATGGAACCAGGCTCTGCTCCATGGTGCCAAGAAATAGGACATGAGGCAACAGGCAGAAACTGATGTGCAAGAAGTTCCATTTGGATACGAGGAAGAACTTTACTGTGCAGTGACTACACACTGGCACAGATTGCCCAGAGAGGGTGTAGAGTCTTCCCTCACTGGAGATACTCCAGAGCCATCTGGACACAATCCTGTGCCAGGTGCTCCGGGGTGACATTGCTTGGGCAGGGAGGTTGGACCAGGTGACCCACTGTGATCCCTTCCAACCTAACCCATTGTGTGATTCTGTGACAGACATGATCTCTGCATCTGTTTGACAGCCAGAAACCCTTACTCTGGCTTGTCCCAGTGCCTTCCTGGCCCGAGCAGCCCCTGGTGACATCCTTCCCAGCAGGATGTCCCACAGGCACACGGCTCCTCAGGCTGTGCCACCTCATGCTCAGCAGTGTGGGCTCGGGTCAGGCTGTGGGTCAGGCTGTGGGTCAGGCTGGCTGGCAGTGCCTGTGCCGGCCGGGAATGGGAAGGAGGCCCTGGCACCACACAGCCTGCAGGCAGCACGAGGCAGGGCCGGGAGCTGGGATCTCACCCGCCGTGTGCGAGCTGTGGCAACCAGTCGGACACATCTCCCCATCAAAATGGCTCCCTGTTATTAGGTGCTGCTGCCGTGCCCTGTGCTGTGGCTGGGATCCCTGGCTAGGCAGGATTCCATCGTTTAAGGGCAAGCAGAACAAAATGTCTCTCCTTGTCCTGAAGGAGTCTGCAATCATCAACGTGATTTGCCTAATTTTTAAAGACAGGGATGTGCCCAAGAGTCTCTGTGGCAGAGAAGTTGAGGCTTATATGGGAGGGACTGTTCCCAAGGTCGATGTGCATGTCTGGCAAAGCTTGGATGAAAGCCTGGGAGCTCTCTCTGCCAGGCTTTGATGCCCAGAGTCCTTGCCTCTAATCTTTGCCATCTATGCAGACAATATCAGAGCTATCAAATAATTCCACCACAATGTGAGCCTTTAAAAAAAAAAAAAAGTCTGCTAGGAGAAGTACACAGCAATGCCCTCAGATAAAAGTTAAAAATTGGATGAAGCCAAATGTGTTATTATGATTTTTGGCTTACCAGGTTAAGCTTACGCAGACTGGGCTGGGAAAACATTTTGTATTGGTACCATGAAACCATTGCAGGAAATACCAGGAGATATCAGGAAACAGCAGGGTTTGTGGAGGCTGCTGTTACAGGCAGGGCTTGAATCCTTCCATCAGTTTCTATCTGGTGTCTCCAAGGCTTTGAGACATTGCTGGAGATGGGCTGGGATTTTTGCTTTCTGTTTCTCAGTTTGTTAGGAAAGAGCTCGGCCTGTTAAATATTTGACATTTGCCAAGCTGGGAGGCTCAAATACTGAAGGCATCTGAAGAATCCAGCCCAGTTCTCACACCTCTCATGCCCCAGCTACTGCTGACAGACACGTGGATGCTCCGCTTCCATCCCTAGGTGAAGGACAAACGATCGCTGTGTGTGGTGTGGGAGGAGGCTGTGTGTTATCTGCTATGATTCACCCTGATAAACAATCTCCTTGAGGACTTCTCTTGTTTATAGCAACAGACCCAGATGCTAAAGTTTACAGAGACTTTAATCCTCGCTGTTCTCACGCATATTTACTTTGCAGTTTTATCAGAAGCATCTCTTGAAAACCTCAGTGTTTTTATAATTAATTGAATAATGTGACTGATGTTAAAAATAAACGGGCTTGGAAAAATGCCCAGCGAGCTGCTGAGCAGTGTGTAGTGTAGCAACCATAGCTGCATTCTCAGGGGTATGTGTATTTTCCTAACAAATGCAGCCTCATGACTTAGAGATTAAATCTTTATTAGTTTGAAATTCACCCTGTTGATTTTTTTCTGTGTTTATGCTGCATAATTGTTTCTGGAGAAATTAATATTTTTTAAAGGGACAGTGGCTCTTGATTGCAGAGGGGGTGGATTAGTCTGAGCCCGCCCACAGAGGGGATGTGGGTGTAGGGTATCTCCATCCATCCACCATCCCACTGACTTTATATTATATTCCATTCCAGGTCCAATCCAGTCACCATCTGTGTGTGATCAAGGTGCTCTGATACACATGGATTCTGCTCACCCCAGACTCCCACAGTGTGGATTTCTCCTCCAGGCTCATGCACACCTCAGCTCTGCTCCATGACCCTCAGCCACATCCCTGCCCTGTGCTCTCCCTGACCTGAGCCTTTCCAGGTGCAGCTCCCCTGTGCCGCCACCACTTCCTCAACTTTTGCTGGCTCAGGGCATCGTCTTATCAGTCTGGGATATTTTTATCAGTCTGGGCTCTGCAGTTCAGTCTGGGCCTCACCTCTGCTCTCCTGGAGAGGTTTTCCTGGCTGGCCGGGGCTGGGATCTCGATGCTCTGTGAGTGAGCACGAGCAAAAGTGGCTTGTCTTACCTCCTCCCTCCCCGCTTTGAGGACAGAGATAAAACAGCAGGGGAGAAACAAGGCGAGATAAATTCAGAAAACTCGGTGAGGTGAAGTGAGGTAGATTCTGTAATGCACTTCGTGAGCCATCACATCCTATCATCCCAGGGGAATCCCAGATACACGAGCCCTGCAATCTACATCATCAGCATCTTCCTTTGGAAAGCATCATCACGCTAATTCGTTTCTCCTGGCAGCCAAATGATTAAAGTTTTAAAACTAAATTACACACGTTGCTGTAACAGCAAAAACACAGTAATGGCTCTCCTCTGTTCCACCTGTCGCCTCTGCTGTAATGGCCTTAATGAGCTTTCAGCTTCATCATCGAAAATAAGAGATTATCACATGATGCTTTGTACTGTAAATGTGTTCTTGGAGCTGTGGGTGGGGTGTACCTGCAATCCCTGCTCTGAGGAGCTGCAGGGGAGCTGTGGGTGGGAGTGAGTTGCAGTGGGTGGGTGCCTTCCCCAGAGCTGGGGGCAGACCCAGAGCTCCCAAAATGGGGCAGGGGGTGCAGCCACCACAGTGGTGTGAGTCCCATCTCCGTGCAGGCAGCTGGAAATCCCGTGAAGGGAATGGGTACCTATCCCCGTGGCACAGGATTATCCCATGGAGTGAAGTTATTCCAAGCTCGCGTCTTCCCAGCTTAATAACAGGCTGTGAGTTCCACTTTGATCTGCTTGTGTTTTTCACTTGTTCCATATTTAACTGAACTCATCATCATAAGGGCCAGGAACTGCTTCACTTTCTGTGGCAGGCTGGGTTTCCCGTAGGACACACCTGCACAGTGGGTTTCTGGCCTGCCAGAACTGGGAATTCTGTTATCGACAGAGGGAGCACTGGAATCTGGAAGTCGGTGGATTCCTTTCCCCAAACATGCAGCTAGACCTGAAAATCCAGCTGCCTGGCTTTTTTTGTTTACTGGTTTCCATGTCTGCTTCAGTGTGTCCTGGGAATGTATGGCAGGACTCTTCCTTCCATTCCAGGAGGCCCATGGGTGCAACTGGAGCTGGTTTGCCCCTTCCAAAATCTGCGGACTGGAACCCACTTTACCTCGAGGCTTGTTATGTTTATCAGTGTTATCCTGTGTCTGTATCCCAAGTGTCCATCCCTTCAGTGCTCTGCTGGACAAGAGACTTGCTGGCTGTGGCCATGGTCTGTCCCACTGGTTCCGTTCTTCTGGCTGCAACCCCACAAATGCTGCTGTTACCCCAAATGCAGCAGAAACAACTGTAATCTGTGGTTCCCACTTGACACAACAACCTCTAATTTGGGATCCTGGGCAGCAGAGGTGACAGAAACTGTCCCTGCTGGCGCTGGGATTCTGCCTTGGGTTAATCACTCGCATGGCTGGGACCCAGGGGCTCATGAGTCCTGTTTGAAGGTGGTATCAACTTCAGTCTTGCACACAGAGCACCTGGAAGCTGTGCTGACCATTCCAGTCAAGCTTCTTATCAGATGCTTTCAAGAAAGACAAAGAATCTTAAATACTTCAATTTTCACACTGACCTGACCACACTTGTGCTGACAGTACCCGCTGGCCATAACCTCTCACATGGCAGGAAAAAACCCACAAGAATCCCCCGAAGGATGCTTTCCCAAAACAGGCTTGAGAAACTTTAAAAACATGCTGGAGGAGGTGCAGGTAATTTGGGTGAGTGTGCAGGTGATATCATTCAGTCCCTTGGCCGGGATCTGCTCCCAGAACTGCAGTGTAGCAATGGCAGTGCATTGTTCTCATGGGACACTGACATAATTATGTGTGGCCTTCTAAAAAATCTTAAAAGCTGTCCCTTTGCTTATAATTAAAGACTTCATATGTTTTTTTTAACCTTGTCCTTGCCCATTTGGTTCTGCAGAGAACTCATCCCAAAGAGAGACATCTCTTTTTTCTCCCTCAAGCAGAGGGACCCAGTTTATGATTCCAGGCACCCTGACTTTTCCAGGGGTACCCGTGTTCCTCATTGCTGAGCTCTGCCTGTTGAATTTCTTCCTCTCCAGGCTCTCAGCTTTGAAAAGATTGATCAGTGAGAGAAGCAAGCAGGATCCCAAAAGGTCTGGAGGACAAGCGTGGTTTTTGGGACGGTGCCACAGCTCGGGATCCCGTCGTGCAGTGCCATCTCCTGGAAAGCCGGGCTGGAGACACATCGCAAGCAGAGTTTTGCTCCTGGGGGAGCTGCTGGCGGCTTGGCTGCTGCCTCTGATGGCCACAAAGACGATCCTCTGAACACCCAGAGTCCCACACCAAACTTCTTTGTCCCCAGCATGCAGGAGGATGCTGCTTGCCCTCACCTCCGAGGTACCCTGTGGCAGAACATCCCTGCGTGGCTCCTTCCCAGTCTGGATACTGAATACAAATCTCCAGGTACAAAAAGAACAGCAGAGGAGCACAGACAAACATCCAGAGATGTCCCTCCTTAGCTTTAGTTCTGCTTGGTTCCTGTTCAGTTGAATGCCCTGTGTACTTGCTCACCCTGTCAGTATCCTGTTCACCTGTTCCTCCTGGTTTTTAAAAGACACTTTTCTCTCTCCTTCCCCAAGTTTGATGACTTCGTCATGAGCCACAACCAAGCCCCTCATCACAGTGCTCACCCTGTGTTTAAAATGTTGTCACGTCCTTTTAATGGGATAAAAACGTGAATGTGGAACAAGCACCTGAATGCTGGTGGCTTGACTAAGCTCTATATTTATCCTGAAAAGACAAGAAAAATGGGTGGTTCCAATGGCAACAGGTTTAGTCCTATGAAACTAACACAGCTTAAATGCTTAGTCACTGAAAAAAAAGCACACTGCAATTTAAAGCCAAAGGCTGGTATTTCAACCATTATTTTAGGCTATTGTGGCATCATTGAGCAGCTGGGAGATTACTGTACTTCAGTAATCCGTCAGACACAGTGAAATAACTCGTGCTCCAAGGTAGGGCTGTAAAAGCTGTTATTTGAAAAAGACCATAATTATGTAAATACAAGGCCAGGAGGTTCAAAAACAAGAGTAAAAGCTGCTGTGACATGTGGCTGTTCACAGCTCTCCTTGGCCCCTTCACAGCGAGGATTCTGTGTTGCAAACTTTTTGTCATGAATCCATTTCTGCCCTGGCACACTCTGATGAACTGAAACAGCCTGTTTACCAAAAATGTATTTTTTTATTAAAATCTGTATTTGTAAAGGAGAGGTCATTACACAAATGAGGTAAACCAACACATATGACATAGTTCTCACTTTAAAAATAAATTTCAATTGAGCAATTGATTTGATTCCACAAAGTCCAAGAGGAAGAGTCAGGTAAGTGTTACTCATGAGGCGAGATGCCAGACAAGGCAGGACAAGGCAGCTGATCTGCCCAGACTCAGCTCAGGTGTCAGTCCCAAGGGGTTGGGACTCTTCCAGGGACAAAACCCTTCTCACTGTGCTGTCTTTTTCTCCCTCATCAGATTTGCAGATGAGAGGAGATGAGTAAAGGCCCAGGGACAGGCAGCGGTGGCCTCTTCACTTCTGCTCTAACCGGGGGTTCCCCATCAGCATTCCCCCCATTAAAGGCTGTGTAAAGGTTTCATTTGATTGTGCAAATCCACTCCCTCATCAGCCCTAAAGGAGACTTAACAGCAAGTAAATACTAGCTCTGGAAAAGTTCCATTTCAAAAGTAATACCTGGCAAGCAACAAGCCCGTTAAGTGTGACACACTTTGCAAGGTACAGGGAGAAGAAGAATTATGCTTCCTTCTTTTTCTTTTTTCTTCCATGCATGTACAAGTGGAGCTTTAATCTAAAAGTTTATGAAGTTGCTGCAAGTCTGTGAGAATCATGTTGACCATCCTGTGCAATTAAGCTTTCTCATTAAAGACTGAGCTCCAAGGCCTGAACACCTCAAAGAGAAGAGTGGCTGCGACGTTGTTTTACCCTGTATAAGGTATAGGACAGTGAGAACCTCAGCTCTGTTTCTCAGGATGCCACCACTCGAGGCCAGCCAGCAGATGAACACAGAACAGCTGGACTCACTTCCAGCTCCCAGGCACTACAGAACAAACACCTCCACCAGCAGAACCAAGTAATGCCCCAAAATTCACTCAATTAAATCAGTGGCTGACAAACTCCTAAACGTTGGGAATTCCTGCATGGCTGAAGCTCTGTAGTCCAGGTCCACTTTGATGGATTAAGGTATTCTGGAGGTGACAAACTATGCAGATGAGGCAGAAGTGGAGTTTCACCTGTTACACCCCCCTGAGTGAAACTCATCCAGTCCCTTGGGTATTTAATGCTGCAACAGGAAAGACGTTGCTCCAACATGTGTCCTGGGACAGTTTCTGGTAACCAAGACATGAAACTTTCATCTCATCTGCCAAGGTGACAGCAAAATTTCGTAACTGCACGTAGATAAAACATGAGGTGAACACACTGTTTTAGTCCCATTGATATCCTCAGGGGACGTGGGTGGGATTTGGACTGCACGGAGGCTTGGTGCTGGTCTGCAGGGGCTGGGTGGATGTTATGCTGCAGGAGCAGATTCTGTAGCTCTCAGTGCAGAGAGAAGGTTCTACCACATCCGGTGCCACGCTTCCAGTAAATGCTTTCAGCAAGAGCCAGAAATGCATTCACTACAGTTCATGATCACTGTACCTTGGGCAGCTGCAGCACTGTGATATCCTGACAAAACTCTCCACATCAGAAGTCATTTAAAGGCTATAGATCTTGAGAGAGAAAGAGAGAGAGGTGTCATACTTAGGGGAGCTTTTTTCCAAATAGGAATTAAAAAATAACTTTTTTAAACCAACCTATTGTTTGAGGAACTAAAGCAACCAATGTTAAGTTGCTGATTTATTACACATCCTGCTAAGGCTCTGTATGAGAGTCTGAAAAGGCAGATTAGCATAAGATTAGCAGAGAAAGCTGTTTAGGCTCAGCAAGGCTCCAAGGGAGCAATTCACACTGAAGAGAGCCAGCACCCCCGCTCCCGTGTCCTCTGACAGCACGGGCGTTTTTTTGCAAGGCAGATGTCCCATAAAATCATAGAATTGTTTAGGTTGGAAAAGACCTTTAAGACCGAGTCCAACTGTTCCCCCGGCACTGCCACATCCACCACTAACCCGTGTCCCCAAGTGCCACATCCACACAAATCCCTTTGGGGACAGTGACTCCACCACTGCCCCGGGCAGCTTGTGCCAGGGCTTGACAACCTTTTTTTCCCCAATATCAACCTAAAGGTCCCCTCCCAGCACTGTTCCTTTCACTGGCTCATACCATCCTGCTGCCCTGCCTGGCCGGGCTCGGCGGTGACTGGCGGGCTGGGCGTGTTGCTCTGCAAAAATCGACGGAAGTCCTTGATCATGGGGCGGAGGACCTGGATGAGGGCGCT